AGTGAAAAAGGCTTTTACTACTTCGTCGGACATTATAAAAATGCTTCAGATTCGAAGAAAAACGAAGCTGACGCGTGTTACAAGCCTCCTCGCTCGGGAAATAAAAACCTAACTTTAAAGTACAATAACGTTAAAAGTAATACTTGACGTTTAAAACTTAACAGAAAATATTTAAATTTGCGAGCATTTTATCACATTTACATACTCATTCAGCACTAACCTATTAAACTTAACCAAAATTAACACAGTTTTTACCTTTGGCCTGACCAGCCTTTGTAAACTATGTACAGTAAAACCCGCTTAAGTACCTCACAAAAATGTCAGCTATTTGAGGTACTTAGACGGGTTGGGTACTTAAAAGAACCCACTTAAGTACATCGATTCGGGTACTTACGCAAACATAATTATTGATGTAGTTAATCTTCTTGTTCTTGAATAAAACATGAACATTTAATGCAGTGTACACAGTTTGAAACCAAGATCGTAGCATTATTTAAACACATAAATACATAAACAAAAACTTTATAAGAAAATCGATGAAGCAATGCTATGTAATTTTTACAAGAATTCAATTCTTTAAAGGCATTGATACATACATACGGTGTTGGACATTTCGGAGCAAATTCAAAATGATGTTGTTTGCCACTTACGCTTATTTATTAATTTTTAAGATTCCCGAACAAATACCATATAAACCTAAGTTAAAATTTTTTAGAACACTGAAAAAAAATTCATTAAAATATCAAACTTTTTTCTCAGATTTCTCATTTTAGTGTAATAATGTGCAAGTTTCAAATGGCTACAAAATTACCGTTGATTTTTTGGAATATTTTTTTGCCGAACATGTTGCGCGAGCCTTAGAAGGCAAAAATTATAAGTAAAATGATAAATGGGTGCCCAAAAATGTTGGTTACTTAAGCGGGTTTCACTGTACCTACATAAAATACTTTGGAAGATACTCACTATAAGCTCCTTCTCTGTGGGAATCAAGTCGTAGGCATCCATGCATTGCGCGAATGGCTCGTTAAACGCTGCATTCATTTTGACGATAAAAGGCAAACTCTGCTCTGAGAAGTAACTCTTGATATATCCCTCCGGGTAGGCGCCCTTAACTACAATTCTCTTAACAGAGGCCGCATGCCACTGGGCTAGCTTGTCAAGTACTG